ACACACACACACACACACAAATAAAATAAAAAAAAAAGTTAGAATCCCAGTGCTGAAAGGCTTCTTTTACCTGACAGACTGGCAAGGATGAAATGTACACAGCCCCAGGTGGGCGACAGAGGGGGGTGCAAGCATCTCCCACTCAGTCCGTGATGGGCAGTCAGTTCAGTCTGCAGGGCACACTGGAGGTGAGATGCACCCTCATCTGTGAGAGCGTCTCTCCTAGGAATGTTGGGAAATATTCAGGCCAGGCCCAGAGACGTAGCCACAACACTAGCACTAGGTTCAGAACTCTGAGGGAAAGAGCCAGAATTATAATTAGTCCCCTCTTTGGGGCTCAGTTAGGGAGCTCTGGTGGCCTAGTGGTAAAAGGCTGTACTGCAATCGGGCACAGGGTTCGAATCCAGCTCTGCGGGAGGACAGGCAATCTCTCCAGAGTGAAATACAGCCTCAGAAAACCCGCTAGAGGGTCGGCTATGGGTCGGTTCCAGCTGGAAGGACACTCTGGGTGGTTACTTTCCTGTTAGATCCAGCCCCCAAGTTTTCGGTAATGACTATTATCTCTCTATCTAGAAGAACTTGCCCAGAAGGGAGGGAGGAGGGCAGAGGAGGAGTGAGTAAGGCTATCAAGAGATCCTTTAAATCTCTGGGAAAAGAAAGTCTCTGAGCTTACCAAACTTCTGGAACTTTCTAGACTGGAAGAAAACTCAGGGCTCCAGGGCAGGGCAGGGGCATTATAATGTCTTGGGAAACAATGTCTAGGCTGTTGGGAAAACAAAACTGGAAACACATTCCAGGTCATGCATATAGGAAGGGGTGGAGGCAGTAAGCACCAATGTCCACTCTCCTGGGTATCCGTCCATCCATCCAGGCTACCAGTGTGTGTGTGTTGGGGGGGGGAATAGGCACCCCAAATCGACCCTCCATCCTCTGCAGAAAGGGCAAGCAAGGCCCGGGGTCTGCACCCACATACCTAGATGCAGTGACTGCCTCCAGGGCCTCTTTAAGCTTCTTTCAGGGCCTCTGGTGGCCCTTGTGCTGAAGTTCTCTGCTCCTATTTTTCTTTTTTTTCTGTGCAGTGGAGTGAGAACTGACCCAAAGCTGACCCTCCAGCGGGTTTTCAAGAGGCAGTAAAGAGCACAGGAGAATGCCCATCTCTCTCCCATGGGGCAACCAACAGTTTCAAACTACCTATCTCTGGTTTGGCAGCGCAAATCCTTACCCCTTAGCCACCAGAGCCCCCTGGTGGCACAGAGGGATAAGAGTTGGGCTGCCAACAGGAGAAACTGCTGTTCAAGCCCAGATTCGGCTTCAACGGGAAATGCAGCTGTCACCCCGCAGGAAGACTGCAGCAGCCCCACCAGGTCCTGTTCGGTGTGTGGGTTGCGCGGTAAGCAACATGCAACACTTGTTGCAGAGAGACACCTCTCTCAAAGAGCACAGGTGCCCAGGCCGACTTCAGTTCGTTAGATCAAAGTACACGACCCGGGCAAAGCTCTCTGAGGATGACTCGCCCTGCGGGAGGGAAAAGGCCACAGGAGTCCTCCCTTCCGCCAGCTCCGTGCAAACTTAGGGCCGAGGACCAGGACAGAGCTGCTGCGTACAGGGCCGCGCGGCGCGTCCACGCGCACCGAGGGCGCAGCCGGCCCCGAGCGGACAGCATGCCCGGCCACGCGCGTCCCCGCCGCCCCCGAGC